TAATGGCTCCCACAGTATCAAGGTTTGGGGGTGGAGAGGGAGGAGAAGAGTATAGGGTTCAAGGCTAACCAGGGCAGAAACCCCTGGAGTCAAACTCGCTGCGGAAGAAGCCCATTCTGAATGACCAGGGGCTATGAAGGTTAGACGTTGGTGCAAGAACAGCCCTAAGAATGGCACCTTTGCAAAAATAAGGACCATCCCAAACCGGGCCTGGTCCTAGGTCATGATGACTATGGTTTGGCGGGGGGGGGGGGGGCATTTAAGTGACTCTCCCTCCTCACTATTTGCTTAACGAATCTGTAGTTCCCAAACGTGTATCAGAGAGAGGAACGAGGCAGGGGTAAGGCCTGGTGGGAAGGAAAACGCTAGGAACAGAAATCGGGGACTGACAATACAAAGAGGGATACCCCTGAGAGGCTGATAGGGTTGACTCTGCACTTCCCGGTTTTCTCAGTACTGCCAAAACGACAGCTGCCACACAGCACCTGACACCAGGGGCCGTAGCTCAAATTAGCCTGACTCGGTTGACTCCAGAAGGCTTCTATCAAGTCCCATCCCCTCCTAAGCGCCGGCTGTCAACCCAGCTCTCTTAGAAAGGGCACATGGGTGACAAGTGTCGTAGATAAAACTGCTATCCTCAGCCCTCAAGAAGCTTATCATCAGTTCACCAACTGACCTCACCTGTCCTTCCAAATTACCCTTCTGGAATCCAGCCCTGGCCTCCATCACAGAACCTCAGAACTATTTCTCATCTCCAAGGAGTGCAACTGGATTTCTCAGTAATGGCCAAAAATGGAAATGTCTTTATTGTGCTTCACTAAAAACACAAGCAAGCAAACCACAAAAGGGGTTGTAAATTAAAAATTCAACAGAAAAAGCTTTTATTTATTCTTCCATTCATTCAGTGATTCTAAAGGAATGCCTACTGAGTACCAGGCGCCCCGCTAGGTGCTGGGGACTCCCAGCAGGGACCAAGACAGACAAGCACCTCTCCTCAGTGACGTAAGAGAGGACAGGGTCTCTAAAGGAAGAGGCTCCATTTCAAACAACCCCACCCGTGTTAGCTCCAAGATGCAGAAACACAAGGAGCACCTTCCAGGATGGATCTGAGCAAGATGAAGGTCACAGTAACTTAAGGCCATGTAAATTCTGGGAAGAACAGTTAAGGAGTTGGACTGGAGGAAATGCCTTCACACTTGCCAAATGAATGTTCTTGGAATAGAAAGCAGCTCTTTCTCTAATAAAACTGAAAAAATGAGCATGTAAAAACAAATCAGAGGCGGCGGGGGCACCTTCCTCTGGGCCCATATCCCAGCCCCCAAAGAAAGGGACACTTTGGGGTCTTCTCTGCTTCAGAGGTCACCTGGGCAAGGCTGCAGTCCCAGCCGGCCGTTCGGGCAAATGCACAAGCAGCCTCTACCACAAACAAGTGAAAAAGTCAGAAATAAAAGTCGAAGTCAGAAATAAGAGCCTGGTGACAGGACACCAGAAACCTTCAGCAAGGGATCTTCAGAAGAAATTCCACCTAGCCCTCAGCATACCGGAACATAAGAAGCCAGAGAATCTCAGACTGTCTCACAGCAAGGACAACATTGATGCCAATGATTTCTGCCCTCGTCAAGAGAGCTTGTCATCCCTCTACAGAACAATTATCTATAGGTGCATAATAGTGAAAAGCTAAATTCTTCCCCCAAGTCAGCGTGGAAAAAGTGCTGCTCACAGCAATTTGCCATCATTTCATTAGATTAATTTTTAAATGTGTTATCCTAACAATTATGCCAACTACCATGTAATTAATATTCCAACTGATTTTACGAAAATTACAAAATCCCCTAAAGAAAATAATTAGTCATTAAGCACAAACGAGACTTTTCTATGGCCAATAGCACATAAAACAGAAAGTTCATCACACATAATGGGTGGTATCAAAGCCTTTCCCACACTTCCTTCAATTCTTAGCCAACAGTGCGTAGTAAAGCTGACATTGGCAAGTTACCCCAAACTTCACTTAACACATTAATGCACTTACTGGTTTAAACTCTCTTTGGGTAAAATGATGAATGATGAAAGCTTTAGCAATTAAAAAGCTCTTTTCATTTGTAGGAGAGGCAAAATAAACACATATAATTGCTTGCTGCTTCCATAACCCCAGCTGGAAATAAGAATACTGGCTTATTTCTTGGGGCTACTTCTCGAGTTTATTAAAGAAATGTACATAAGGCATCCTCACCATTGTTTCCCTCTTTCCTTTCAAGGTTTTTATGTATTCTTGTAATCGACCTTAAAACCTTTCAAGAGTAAGGAAGGGTATAAATAAGTCATAGTCAAACAGGACATTATCTATCATAATGGAAATAAAAAAACATGTTTTCCCTGCAGCCCATCTTTGAATAATTGGCAGGGGCCGCCTAGCCCCAGATCAGAGCTGTGAGCCCCTGCATGACCTCAGCAGGAAGGAATGCAGAAGGTGATTAGTGGTGTCTGCCCTGGACAAGAGCAATAGTTTGGGGACCCTCATACCATGCATTTGTCATCTCCATCTTTCAATAAACCATTACAAATTAGCAAAATGCATACAGATTCATGAATAAAAGATAATGTAGCAATTGCTTCTAGGATGAATGTGGAAGGGGAAAAATATTTTCTATAGTCGAAAACCTTAAGCCAAAATGGATTAAAGCATCAAGTTTAGAGGAAAGAACACTGACCTAAGTCAGGAAATGCAAATTCTAGTCTAGCTGTGAAGCTGTGGGCAGGTCAGTTCACTGGGCCTCAGTCTGCTCAGCTGCAAAATAAGAGCTAAACTAAACATCTCCTAATCGTTCTCTTTGTTTCTACTGATCAAGGGTACAAGCAGCTCCCAATGAACGGGCAGCTACTATGCAGGGCCTCACCAGGCCAGGGACGTGACTCAACCCCCCTACATCACCCCCAAACCCCGGGACTTCCACACTGCTCTTACGGGATTTACAAACTACTTTAATCTGTAGCATCTCCAGGACAAGAAGTTCCACAGAACACAATCTTTCTTTTCCTTAATACAACCTCTTTTCCATCTTGGAGCAAGGGTAAGGGTCAGTAGAAGGAACTTTTATTTTAATATGCTAACTATTAAGTTCGGCAAAACAATTAAACTACCTTTATTCAACCTGAAACCAATCACTTCCACTAGGAGTCCCGGTCACTCATGGTTTCTCAACTGGCCTAGGTGTTCCCTCCATTGAGAAGTCTCCATAGCTCTAGGCTATTCCAAAAACAACACTGCCCACGTGATACACCAACACAGTTTCTGTGTCCAAACACCAAAAAGCAAGACTTTCTACCAAGAGTCCAACCAGAAGTAAGTTGCACCATGCACCTACTGATCAGATCCCACCCAATCCCTAGATAAACTCATGTAAGGATGACCAACAGTGTCCCTGGGAAAACAAGGAGGCTCAAACAGGACAGCCAGATAGGGCAGTGTTATATGCGTAGGGCTGGAAGAATCTCATGTCTGGCTGTGGTAATGAAATAATTTTTATCTGCCCTGCATCCCCACCTTTTGGGAACTGCCTCTCCAACTCCAAGGAGCCCCACTTCCTGTGCGTCAGGTGATCTGCATCAGCCAATCAGAGAATCCCAGCCCTGGATTCAACGAACTGTTCAGTTAGATAAGGGCCACCTACCAAGCAGGGCTAAAATCCTTTTTCAGAGTCTGGCATGACACCAGGAGATCACCTGGTATAAGAGCCATGCAAATCTACAACTGCCAGGCCACCTTTTCCACCACTTACAGACATCAGGCCAACCAAGGAAAGCAGACCTACAGAGAAGAAGAGAGTGACAGATCCCCATACCAACTGGGCATCCTGATCCTCAAGACCAAATTGGGTTTTCTGTCAACGGCAGCCCAGAGTTTGGGGGACAACCCTTATAGGCTAAATGTTTGTATCAGAGGTTCAATCACTTCTCCCTGAATCTCAGACGTAGCTTCCAGGGTTCCACTTCAAACCAAAGTATACTAAATACTACTGAGAAGCTCAAAGAAAAAAATCTGCACACCAGAAAAACTCAACGCTCATCTGTCATCCAAAATAGAGGGGGAAAAGGACCAGAGAGAAGAGGGAAAAGACGATGGATAACTGGAGGGGAAGAGCAATTCACAACCAATAACTGTGAGAACAATGGTCTCCAGAGAGGCAGCACAGTCTAATGAAAAAAGCTTCCCAAATCATTCCAAACACATATTCTAGTTCTTCATCGGCAGGGAAAAAAAAAAAATACACAACAATCCACAGCACCAAAACAAAATAAACTTGTCAGTAAACAAACTATTTCCAGGCTTATGAGCCTGTTACCCTTATTTTTAGACTACAGTTTAGTTTTCCTATTACAACTATCCCAGGGTCTATGCCACAGGCCTGCTTGCTGAAGGAAACCATGAACAGCAAATTCCACGGTGCACATTTAGAACAGTCTCCCCCAGATGTAGTTAGAGAGTAAAGAGTAATCGAACAAACAGTACTCTCATGATGTTCTTCCAGGGAGGACAGGGGAAGGCAACATAAACAGTGTGAGTGGCTGAACATTTAGACCACCAGTCCTTAACCTTCTGGGGGTCATGGACTCCTCCAAATCTGATGAAAGCTAGGAAGTCTTCCCCGGGGGGGGGGGGAATGCACATATCACAACATTTTTCATACAATTTCAAGGGGTTCATAAAAGCTGCCTCCCTAAACACAGTCTCTAAGTTAAATACACCTGATTTAGGGCTTTTAAAAAAAATTAATTACCTGAGCATCATGACTAATCCTCAAAGACTCCAAAGGACTACAAAATAGCTCACAGAGAAATTATTAAACTTCCAACTCTGTAATTCCACCAAGAACAAAATCTGAATTTTGAATCAAGAACCAAAAAAAAGAAACAAAAACTTACCCTCACCTTCTGCATTTATGAAATGTTAAGAAAACTTGGCTTTTTCTATATCAGCTCCATTTCTGACATGTCTCCCTTACCTTGTTTGACCATTTATATGCTTGAAGGAGTTGACTATAAAGAGGAGTTTTGTCCTGCACAGGATCCAGGCTTAACAACCCACTGTTATGGAGAGGATGGTTCTCGGATGGCTTGCCTACCAAATTGCTCAGACGTTCCAGCTCACTGAAAAATAAATAAATAAAGCAAATAAACCTGAGTCCACCGAAACTCCAGGTTTTAGCCAACCACATTGGTCAAAAGCTGTTCTTCAAACTGTCCATCAGAAATCTCTTAAGAAGAACTACTTTGAAAGGTTAAGATCACGGACAATGAAGAAAACCCTTAAGTGGGAGCTTATGTTATTTTATTATTTTTTTTAAAGATTTTATTTTTTTGACAGAGAGAGATATAGCGAGAGAGGGAACACAAGCAGGGGGAGTGGGAGAGGGAGAAGCAGGCTTCCCGCGGAGCAGGGAGCCCGATGTGGGGCTCGATCCCAGGACCCCGGGATCATGACCTGAGCCGAAGGCAGACACCCAATGACTGAGCCACCCAGGCGCCCCCGGAGCTTATCTTATTTTAAAACCCAGCTCTATGGTGCCATTCTAAGGGAGGAAAAAAGTTAAGAGCATGGGAACCAGTAAGACTCCTAAAGTCAGGATTTAACAACTCATATTATTCTCGGGGTAGGGAGGGCGACTTTCTGGAATTTTGAAATGTGGTATAACATTCCTTCTCGCTAAGAGTTTTCAGACCCACATACACATCATTACATTTGGCAGAACAGCAAGTACCTGAATAGATGATGATTATTTATCACTCACATAGGGATAGACTAGTACATGGTACTTCACAGATGGTAAAACTTAACAAAACAAAGAAGAGATAAAATAAACAAATGGAATGGGAAGACACCACCGAGGGGGCTGTGTCAAACATACTTCAGTCTAGCAGGAAAACTCTAGAGAAGCTTGGGAAAGTGAGCCAACAGCAAAAGCACATTCCAGGAGCACGTTCTGTGAGGCCAGTCTCAAACTGTCAACAAAAGACTCTCTAGGAACAGCTTCTCATGCCACACTCATTTTGGAATCTTCAGCCACCTTCTTCTTGGCACTACTGCATAAAGATTTAAAAAGGCGACAGGGTAATATAAACTTTCTAGAATGGAGGAGGGTTATAAGATCCTGAACATTACCAAAGGGAGCAAACGGAAGAGAGCAAAGAACAGCCAGTGCATCTCCTCAGGCAGGGAAAGTATTAACTGGCACTGCACCAGAGAACAGCAAGTGAATGTGGGAGTTGAGGAGGGGTGTGTGATTTCCTGGCTTTCCACCAAAAAAGAATGGCAACTACTTAGGGAAAAAAATCAAAAGAGGCACCACCCATCATTTGGTCACCACCTCCTCCTCCATTCTACCTCCTCCTTCCATCTGGTTACTAAGGAGACCAAGTTGGGGGTGGGGGTGGGGAATCCATCCATTCCAGAAATTACGGGACGACTATCTTACCAAATGCCTTTCCCTGCTAAGGTCAGTTCTGAGAAGTAAAAGGCAAAAATCCTGGAATTCCAACCTCCCTGAGAAGGGCTGACTCTCTTAGGGAAGGGAAGACAAGTTCAGAACCTAACCAATTAAAAAGTTCCTACTACCTGCGGGCCATGTCACAAACATCCTTTCACTTATTTCTTACACAGCACTCAGAAAACAGAAGTAAAGAAAGTGACTTGTAAGAAAGAGAAATATACAATCCTTAACCCTAAAGGACCGCAAATTAATATGGGGGGGGGTCGCTAAACATAAGTGATTAAGATGGTTAAGCCTGAGATTAGGTCTCTCTAGAGGAAGAAACTGAACAGGAGCAGAGTGGGAGTGAAGTTCTGATCAGGTGGTTTGGGCGGGGGGAGGGGGCGGCGGGGGGCAGGGAAGAGGGAAAGATCAGGTCCTGTTTTATCGTGTTTGGAGTCGGAGTAGTGTGAAACTGATGAATTCCAGGCTCAGGGGCGAGGAATTGGTGCTAAAGAGACCAAGTGCACTTGGGTTTGGGGCAGCGCTGAGCTGGTCCTGTTTGGTACTATCGGATCAGACACGGTGGGGCACAAAGGGCCTACAGGTGAGAAACCTGCCAAGCGGAGATGAGAAGTGGAAGTTCACGGGAAGAGCCCGTCTCGTCGTCAGGAACGGAACGACCACACAGGAGGCTCAGGGCGGCGGGAGACAACCAGGACCAGGACGCCAAGAGAAGGGAGACGAGAAAGCGGGGGTGGGAGACGAGGTGTCCCTGAGGAACAGGCATGGGCTTGGAGGGGAGGGAAAGAGAGCAAGCGAGCAAGGAACTGAGAGCGGCCCCTGGCTAGGAAGACTCGCGCGGGGTCGGGACAGGGTGGGCGCCGGACGGGTCCCCGACGGCGGCCCCTTCAGCCGGTACCTACTTGAGGTCCCGGTTGACAGAATGCAAGTTGTCCTGGAAGTGCGCAATGAAGGCCTTCTCCCGGCCCTCCAGCGTCTCCTTGTTCCGCATGCCATCCTTCAGGCAGTCGAACACCCTGCTCACGCTGGAGCGCAGCGCCTGGATGGCACTGATGGCCTGAGCAAAGGCCTCCAGGTTCACTCCGACACTTAGCACGTCAGCCATGTTGCCGCCGCCACAGCGGGTTCTCCAGAGCTGCCTTCGCTGGCTAAAGGCCGCGCTCACTGATGACGCGAGGTCCCGAAAGGCCTCTGGGAAATGTAGTTCTCGCGGGGCCCGGCGGCCCAGGGGGTCAGTGCAGACGCGATCCGAAAGAGGGTTTCCATTCAACTAAACGAATGAGCGGGTAGGAAAGCGATCTCCTAGATTTGGGGAAGTCAGGCTGCACTCTCGGTTCTCTTAATGGTGACGAAGAACTACAGAAAGTTCCCGCGTTTCCCCAACCTCGGGTGAGATCTTCGAAGTACTAGGGAAAAGAATTGCTCAGAGCAGAAAAGTGTCCGTGGAGCAAAGGATTGGATAAAATGAGTCCATATCATTAAATAAATGAGAGGAAAGGAAAAATTCTTCCCTACAGTAGAATGCCAACTGATAGAAGTAGAAGAAATGATAGGGGGAAATTACCGTTTGGCAACCATTAGAATAATAATTGATTCGGGTAGGAATCAAGGAATGCTAAAACTGGTGGGTGAACGTGTGAGGAGTAACTGGATATTTGCATAGTCTCCACGTATCATCCCACAAGACACTTATTAATTAAGAAGGGAAAAATAATGATCCAGCAACTTCACTTCTGGTTATATACTCAAAAGAAGGGAAAGCAGGGACTGGAACAGATACTTGTGCCCTCAAGTTCATAGCAGCATTATTCACAATAGCCAAAAGGCTGAAGCAACCCATGTCCCTCGTGGGATAAATTCATAAGCAACGTGTGGTATATAAATACAAGGGAATATCTGTTCAGCATTCAAAAGGAAGGAAATTCTGACACCTGTTACAACATGGTGAACCTTGAGGACATGATGCTAAGTGAAATAGGCAGTCAGAAAAAGGCAAATACTGTAGATTCCACTTATGAGATACCTAGAATAGGCAAACCCATAGAGACAGAGAGTAGAATGGTTGGTGCCAGGGGCTGGGGGAAGGGGAGAATGAGGAGTTATTGTCCAATCAGCAAAGAGTTTCAGTTCAAGAAGGTGAAAAAGTTCCGTGAATGGTGGTGATGCATAACAATGTGCGTAACACTGAATGCACTTAATGCTGCAGGACTGGACACTTAAAGATGGTTAAATGGTAAGTTTTATGTTGTGTATATTTTACCATAATTCCTGTTTTTTAATTCAGTAGTGTAAAAGAAGGGTCATATTGACTTTGCGATGGAGCAACCTGGCAGACACCACCCCAACAAGAGACCAAGGTTGACATTACTGCTGTAGGACAAACCATCTCCCAACACAAAGCACAGAGAAAAGTGCAGCATGACTTCTGTGATATTCCTGCCAAAAAGGCAAAACGAGAATCTGATCAGGACATCAGACAAACGCAAAGACATTTGACAAAATGACTGACCTATACTTTTCCACAAAACATCCATGTCATGAAAGTCAAAGAAGCACGTGATCTGGGACTCTCTTTGCTCACATCGTGGAGACAATTGGTGAGATCTGAATAAGGTCTATGGATTAGTTCATAGTATTTTATTGATGATGATTTCATGATTTTGATCACTCAACTGTGGTTATGACCCGGGACATCCTTGTTTCGAGGGAATATAGCTTGAAGGGATAAAAACGTCATTTATGAAAGAATGTCTCTATGAAAAAGAAAATAGTATGAAACTATTTAGAGAGAGAAGTATAGAACAAATGTGGTAACATATTAACAGTTATGGAATCTGGGTGAAGAGCATACAGGAATTGTTTGTACAGTTCTTGCAACTATCAAGTCTGAAATTGCCTCAAGGTAAGTTGTTTTAAACAGCCATCAATAAAAGGCATGGCAAGTGTAAACATTGTCTAAGTGGTAAGAAAAATTTTCAGTTCTGCCAGGCTGTGCTGACCAACAATGTGAAATTGTGGAGTTCACCTCAAACCCACTTCCTTAATAGTTCTCCCACTCTTTCTTCTCCATACTCACTCCTCCCTACCCCCCACACCACCTCAATTCAAATCCTCTAGTTGTGGAGCAGTGAAGATAAACTCTGCTCAAAAACTGGACTCTGATGTTGCTCTCCATGAGTGTTTTAGACACTATTTAGATAAATGAATAGTCCCTTGAGAAAAAAGGGTTTCGTTGTCTTGGGTTTACATAATAGCTTTCATTTCCTGACATCTACACCACCTTCATAGTATTGCCATTGGCAGCTTTTCCTACAGCGAAGGGGTAAGAGATAGGAGAAACTTCCAGCTGCGGAACTCTAAACAAGTTGCAGATCTCCCTGATCCTAAATTTTCTCATCTGTAAAATAGAACTAGTAATAACACCTATCTTTATTAAATAGCTGTGAGGTTTAATAATACCTTGAAGGCAAAGCTTTTAGAAATAATGCCTGGAGAATAATAAATACTGAGAAAATCTTAGCTGTCAGGAGAATGTGCTGGGAAAGTTTCCCATGGGCCTGTGATCTGTGCTTCTATCTCCACTTGAGGACTCTGCACAGAATCAAGCAAGGATGAACAATGGGTCTATTAGGTCAAATAATCTCTAGTGGCATGACCCTGTTGCTAAGAGCTTGTCATTTAACTGTGCCTATAATTCACTATTTCTTGGTGACCTTTTTATTTTTTTTTAATCTCCTTTGGAGTGTAGGGTTTTGGGTTTTGTTTTTTAAGATTTTTGGAGAAAATCCTTTTTTAGCTTCATAAAAACAAAGGAAAATATCTGTTTGTTGGCTTGTTTTGGTTTTGGCTTCACTTCTTGTTTGTTCATCCCTTCTAGGGGAAGATTAGAGAAGGCAAGCTCTATTATTGTGGTTACTCATCTTGTTGGGGATCCCTGAAGGCTTAGAGAATGTGACCCTGGCTGCATACTTTGTCCCCAAGAAAAAAATGTACCGGTCTATTTCTGCCCGCACCTATATGTACCTACAAACCTGAGATTTTGCATACAATTTCCAGGGGTTCATAGCGCCCTAAAGCCCAAACATGAACCTCTGGTTAGAATCATGCTCTAAGGCAAGCACCATGGGGGACATGGCCCACAGCTAGCCTATAACAACCCAGTCTTCAGTGCCTGGGGCACAATAGATGCTCAGTGTAAATTTGTGGCAGCAATGAGTTAACACGATGTATTATGTTTGTCTTCTTGGATCCTCCCTCCAAATTACTTAATCTCTCTGTATACTCAGGTATCTCTCCCTCTTACTCAGCCCACCTCCCCCGCCCACCCTCTCCCTCCCCATCCCCCACACAATAAGATTTTCCTTTGTCTTACACTCTGATTCAGTGGTTTAGATACTGATTGGAGCTATAAAATACAAATAGGCTCCGCTCCCACAGTCATTAGTTTTCAGGACTTCTCTCTGGTTCCCCTCTTCTGGGAAACTCAGAAATTGATCAGTGGAAATGCACATTTCCCCTGAACCTAGTAAGGAGTCTTTCATCAAGGCAACAGAAAACTTTTCATGTTGGAAGGGAATGGACAGAGTTTCTCTAAGGTGCCATAAATTCTCGAGAATGTTGGCACATATATGCTTGCATCTGTGTGTGTTTGTAGGATATAAATTACTTTAAAAGGAGTTCATTTCGAGCAATATCAGATTTTAATTATTGTGATCTTATGTTTGGGTAAAAGGCAGCACCCTGCTGCTAATATCTTCCAAAATGAACAAGCCATTAGCTTGGTGCTATCAGCTCAAGAGCATTAGAATAAGCAATCAGAATTAAAGTTGTCAGTATTTAATTAAAATATGCTGCAACTCCCATCATATTCAGAGAGCATGTGGTTTAAGCATTCAGACTGAGAAAGCACCCTCATCAATTAATAATTATTAAGGATTTACTAGATGCAGAACACTGCATTGGACAGTTGGGCAGAATGTCACCAGATAGATTTAAACCCAAATCTGCCTTGGATAAGCCAAACGTAACTAAGCCACCTGTCGTAATCAGTGTGGCATAATGCTTAAGACCTTGGGGGTTGCTCCGAGGATTAAACTGAGACAGCATACAGTTCTGGGGACATAGTAGGCATGCGAGTTAGTCATTCAACAAATATAGATATTGGATGTGCTCAACGTTTTGTTAAACAGTTGGGGAGCCAGTGGTAAAACCAGGCGCAGTCTAGCCCTAATAAATGTCATTGAAGATATCTGAAGTGGATTATGTGTTCCTTCACCTTCACCTGAAGGCTCACTGCATCAGTGAGTTTTAAAGTGTTTAGAATCAGGTTTATTAAAATTAATCTAAAGCAAGTATGGTCAAGAAACTTCCTTTGGTCTCTTCTGAACCTACCCCCTCCCCCCCCACACACACACGCCTGTTTTCCTCTTATTTTGCCTGTCGTGATTTTGACATGATGAAAATGATGACCAAATGATCCTAAAGACAGAGGACCCTGGAGAGCAGGAAATCAGCCTAGACTGGTGTCTCTCAGGCAAATGAGTTAGCCCTTCTTAACCTCAGATCTCACATCTAGAGAACAAGGAAGTGGGATCACCTCCAGAACTAACAACTAACAATCCAGGAGCGTAAGATTAGGAGGAACATGTTAGTAATTCAAGAAGGAGGAAAGGGAGAGGATCACTCCTTGTTAATGCTGATCACAACACACTGCACCAGGATTCCTGCACTTCGGCTCATTCATTTACCCAGCGACGCTCACCGAACAAAAGGATTAAATAAGGATCCCTATGGAACCTGTTCCTGTTCTCATGGCACTCACTCACAGCCTAGCAAGGGAGACAGACACAAATGGAATGTCAAACAGTGAGGTTCAACTGCAAGATAAGAGACCTGCACACAGAATTTTGAAGTTCTTAGAGAAGGTGGTTACAGTATCCTTCTGCACAGGGGAAGACTGGGTCGAGGCTTCCGAGGAGACTATGGGCTAAGCAGGTGTGGTGAGGGGTAGAGGTAAGGTAGTGCAATGGACAGTTTGAAGGGGTGTGTTGTGATTAGTTAGATCTGTGTTTGTGAAAGTACAACCTCTAGCTATGAAGAAAATGGGGAGAAGTGTCCAGGCTTAGAGGCAGAGACACCAGAAAGGCGAGGGATACCTTCACCT